AAATCCAGGAAACTCTGAATCCAGTTGGGTACTTGTGCTGAATCCAGTTGGGTACTTGTGCTGAATCCAGTTGGGTACTTGTGCTGAATCCAGTTGGGTACTTGTGCTGAATCCAGTTGGGTACTTGTGCTGAATCCAGTTGGGTACTTGTGCTGAATCCAGTTGGGTACTTGTGCTGAATCCAGTTGGGTACTTGTGCTGAATCCAGTTGGGTACTTGTGCTGAATCCAGTTGGGTACTTGTGCTGAATCCAGTTGGGTACTTGTGCTGAATCCAGTTGGGTACTTGTGCTACATCTGTCGGATAAAAGTTCCAAAGTTACCAATCTGTACTACACTCGGCACATGTGCTGGGCAATGTACGAACTACTTTAGGAAGTTCTGGATCTAAGCTGGTTGCAGAACATCACGTGAGACATTGTCACCAACATGACAGTGTCACCAACGTGACAGTGTCACGCGGCATCACAAGCTCGGGTGATACCAGCTGCAGTAAGTCAGAATGCCACACCCACACACCCACACCCACACAACAACACGTGATCGTGAGAACCGATGACGTCAGCGTGACGTACACATGGTTAACTGCAGGGTCACCTGTACTCTATATTTGTATTGACAGGTGTCACCAGCTGCAGGGTGTTGCAGGTAGTGACTGAAAGGGTGGTCTGGTCTGATACATCACACATCAGTGTTATGGTTGTACCTTTATGGTTTTATGGTTAGGGTTATGGTAGGGTTATGGTTTTATGGTTAGGGTTATAGTAGGGTTATGGTTTTATGGTTAGGGTTATGGTAGAGTTATGGTTTTATGGTTAGAATTATGGTAAGGTTATGGTTTTATGGTTAGGGTTTTATGGTTAGGGTTGTGTTATGGATTGGTTTTATGGTTAGGTTATGGTTTTATAATTATGGTTTCATGGTTAGGGTTATGGTTAGGGTTATGGTTATGGTTAGGGTTATGGCTAGGGTTATGGTAGGGTTATGGTGTTATGGTTAGGATTATGGCTGGGGTTGTGGTTATGGTTTTACGGTTAATGTTACTGTTAGTGCAGTATTTGGCTGGAAGAAACCGGAAGTCATGGCTACAATTCCTTGGACTGAATGGTGGACAATAGAAAGTGTATGTGACGTCATGCATCATGATCAGTGTCCTAAAACGTGTTGACACATAAGACGTCACCAACATATGACATATTGGACATGTCACAAAGTCTGTTAATGAACTATTAACAGCTCATTAGTGTGTAATTCTTGACCTCGAAAAAAGACGACACTATCTTGCTGCTCAAGATGCTGTCGTTTCGTGAATGGAATTGTTGACATTACGTCTGTCCTTTTTACCTGTGCGCCATATTGTACTTTTAGATAAAGTCTCTGTTTGTCACCCAGTTATTTGTGACAACCACGGGTTGCCAGTGTGGCAACATCAGCTCTGCAGGACATCTACACATTGCAACCAACTTGAGCTGTTTGAAGTCCTTAAGCCTTTTGTTTTGTTTATGTTAACAGATTCAATTAACTGGCTCGTCCCGTTTTTATATCGACATAAATATTTCAAGGTTTGACAGAATCATAAAAACATGCTAAAACTGGCTTAAACATAAACATTTCAAGGTTTGATTTAGAAGGATAAAAACATGTAAAAACTTGCTTTCAATTGCTAGTTCTACAACGGAAGGTTTTACAGCTGATGATGAGATGCTATAACATGTTGTCAACATTTTGCTTCATTTCCCGTCTAGTCCCCCCCCCCCCCACCCCACCACACACACATACACCGCACACATTCTCCCCCACAATCTCACTAATAATCAACATTTTTAGCGACAGACTAAACCCCCCAGGTAATATCTCCACCATTGTCTACATAATGGTGACTATTAGTAAATAACTTAGCTTTCAAATTTGAATCTCCAAAATGAATACATTTATTGTGGATTTAGAGTAAGCTCCACCTAATGGGAGATAATATGTATCATGAAAGAGTTTATTTTAATGTTTAATGTAGTTTTAAAAGCGTGAGTTGGTAAAAGAGAAATCATGGAGTTGAATGTAGGCCTGACTTCAATTAGGCCTGTCTGACTGATCTGACGTCACAACCTAGGTCTGAGTGTTACAAATACCTTCGGCCGAACTTTCTGGCCAGATTTAGCAGCTGGCTGAGTAAGGTCAAAATAATTTGTTGGAATTTTATATATTTTAAATCGTTAAGTGTTCATTTAATTATTTAATTAAATAGGTAAGTGTTCATTTAGTAATTGAATTAAATCGGTAAGTGTTCATTTAATTTTTAATTAAATCCTTAAGTGTTCATTTAGTAATTTAATTAAATCAGTAAGTGTTCATTTAATTATTTAATTAAATCGGTAAGTGTTCATTTAATTATTATAATTAAATCGGTAAGTGTTCATTTAATTTTTAATTAAATCCTTAAGTGTTTATTTAGTAATTTAATTAAATCGGTAAGTATTCATTTAATTATTTAATTAAATCGGTAAGTGTTCATTTAATTATTTAATTAAATCGGTAAGTGTTCATTTAATTATTTGATTAAATCGTTAAGTGTTCATTTAATTATTTAATTAAATCGGTAAGTGTTCATTTAATTTTTTAATTAAATCGTTAAGTGTTCATTTAATCATTTAATTAAATCAGTAAGTGTTCATTTAATTATTTAATTAAATCGTTAAGTGTTCATTTAATTATTTAATTAAATCGGTAAGTATTCATTTAATTATTTAATTAAATCGGTAAGTGATCATTTAATTATTCAATTAAATAAAAACAAGCATGATAGTAGTTTATGCAAACATATATAAATCTATATCTACTATACGGTTGGTTGGTAGAGCGCTAAACTGCAAGTTAAAGGTCTCTAATCCGAGATTCGAACTTAAGTCGCCATTCAACCATTCAAATAAGGGGGAAAACTGCAGTTCTAAATTTATTTTAAGAAAATGGAATTGTCTCCTCTATCAGCCAGAAATGCAGGTTTATTGAGACTAAAATAAAAAGCTTTAGTCACTTGAAGTCGGTGTTTCCTTTAGACTTTATTTTCTCCTGGTATCTGGCATTTGAAACTTTTTTGGGAGGGGAGCTGACTAAAGTTTCCAGCGGGGGGGGGGGGGGGGGGGGAAGGGGACGAACGGGACACTGTAATATATATATATATATATATATATATATATATATATATATATATATATATATATATATATATATATATATATATATATATGTGTGTGTGTGTGTGTGTGTGTGTGTGTGTGACGTGTATTTTGTGTGATGTATATTTTGTGTGTTGTGTATTTTGTCTATTGTATATTTTGTGTGTTGTTATTTTGTGTTAAGTGTATTTTGTGTGATTATTATTTTGAAAAAAAATTGTAACTTTTAGCAGCCACAGGGTTTTGTACATATCTTTTATTATAGGCGGTTTAATTTTCACACCTATTTGACATTGTGTAGAATAAATTTTAAAATATTTTTTTCTGTTATCTACACGATTATCGTCTATTTTTACTTTCTCGTATATACGAAGTATAGAGAAAGTATTGTAATCGTGCAAAAAAAAAAAAAAAATCGAGATTTTTACAAATCTCGACGTTTTACATCTCACTGATACGGAAAAACATAATTTTGCAATCTTGTCCGTATGTCTGTGTGTCTGTCTGTGTGTCTGTCTGTCTGTCCGTGTGTAAACACGATAACTTGAGTACCGTTACAGCTAGGTTGATGAAATTTCATATATAAGTATTTTATCAAAATCGTAGATCCGTATCAACTTCTGATAACCGGAAGTGGTACTTTTCCTACTTTGTAATTTTCAAAAGCCTATAACTTGAGTACTATTTCAGATAGATAAACAAAATTTCACATGTAAGTAAAAGATCTAATTCTCTACCTTCTGTTAAATTTTGAGTCATTTCCGTTGAACGGAAGTAGTAATTTACGCTACTTCCGATTTCTCAAAAAACTAATGTAAATTTTTAAAGTACTAATAATATTTCGCACTATTATGCGCTTTTTTATTTAGCGTTCACTTGGAGTGCAATTCTTTTGTCTACGAGATTTTATTCTATTTTTAAAACTTTAAGTATTTAAAATGGATTAAAAATCATGTCTATAGCCCGAGTTCCCATCCCCTGTTATTTTAAATAAAAATATTCGAGAAAGTTTAGGGGAGATCACTCCCGGTTTATTTTATGTAATATAAGAACTGGGGAAATTGAAAGTTGAAATTCCTGACGCAGTTATATCCCATTGTGTAGGTATAATTAATAAGTGGTTAGACGTGTTAATTTTTATTAATGTTCACATTATTTGAAAACCGTTTAGTATAAATTTTAAAGGAATTTTTATTTTTTATATTATCCATATATTTTCTTTGTTTAGTATTTTGTGTAGTCAAAGAACTAGTGTTTCTTCCATACTAATTTTTCCGGGGGGGGGGGGGGGGGGTCGACATCATTCGGGGGGGGGGGGGGGGGGGGGCGGACACTAGTAAAGGTGTATGTTTACTATATGATTCCATCTCGTTCGGGGGGGGGGGGCGGTAGACATTCTTCAGGGGCGGGGGGGGGGGGCGAAGAGATGCCTGGAAGAAACGCAAAGAACGGAGGAAATTAAAAGTTGAAGTTCCTGAGAATCAGGTATTTTTCTAGGTGCCTACGACACCTGAGCTAATATCAACTTTTGTCGCATCTGCAAGTGGTCGATCTAATTCAAGCATTTTAAAAAATGTACAGTTTATATAAGGCCGCGGTTAGTCTAAGTCAGTTTTCGGTCACTGTGAACTCCATTATTGAGATGACTCAAATTTTCCCGATAAAAACAGAGTAAACAGGACACTTGTGAGTAACAAACGAACCAAACATCGCCCACTTTGTTTTTATAGATATAGATTTACTTTACGTATGTTTGTAGAGGATTTACTGTAAAGATCATAAACGATCGGGAGAATTATTTTGAAATGTTTTATTATTTTTTTATGTGTAGCGTTTGTTGCAATTTGAGATACCACCCACATGAGACCGTAGTCAGTGTGCGGGCTGGTTTCAAAGTTGGCAGTTGAGGTTGACGTGGTAAGTATTGTTAGTATTGTTCTTACTATTTGTTATCGCGATAATTAAAATAAATGATAGGCTAAGCATTGCTTCAAAATAATAAGCGTTGAATACAATAGTGGGGTGGGAAAGTGGAGGAAGGCAAGTTTGCTCACAGATCGCACCTCTGTGCTAATGATGATTGTTAGCAAACTTCTTGAAGTGTTAATTTAAGATTGTAGCTGGTCTCAGTGGCGTAGCGAGGTCGGGTGTTACCCGGTGCGGCACTTAATGGTGTCACCCCCAGAGGACAAACTTTCAATTTTCGATTTGCACCCCCCCCCCCCCATCAAACTCTCGATTTGCACCCCCCCCCCTCTTAATCTTTCGATTTGCACACCCCTCAAACTTTCGATTTGCACCCCCCTCCCGTTCCACCCTTGTCGGGCTTTGTCAAATTTGCTCTTAAAAGACCTTTTAACACTCGAATTAATCACTTAATTAAGTGGAATTATCATTTTCTCTACATATTTTGCTATTTTTTGCCTTGGTGTCATCCCCCCCCCCCCCCCAAATGGTGTAACCCGGTGCGTTCCGCCCCCCCCCCCCTCGCTACGCCACTGGCTGGTCTATATTCAATATTTACTCAATCTTTTACCAACAAATGCAAGTGTCAATCGCAGTCAATTTCAGCCCTCGTAGGGAACATGGAGGCCGACAAATATTTGACCCAAATGGCCGAGTGAAATGTAGAATCTAAGCGAAATATAAGTATCCTGTATAGCGTAGATTTACCCTAAAACATGCAACCATTTTCCGCGGCAATCAGTTGTTATATAAGGGGCTAGGGCCTTGGGTTAGTCTTAACCACCTTTCGAGAATTTCCAGATTGTGTCTCTCACCCCCCATCCCACCACCGCCCCCACTCATCCCACACACAATGTCCGGGTAGGTGATGCAGTCTGCAGTTCCATAAAGTTAAATTGGATGTTGAATAACTTTAAATTTTGTAATTTTTGTAATTTGTTATTATTTTATTTATTTATTTATTTTTGTAATTCTACCGTCAAGGTCTCAAAGGACTTTTTCTGATTTTGAGTTTTTTAAAAAGTTAAATATTATACAAATATTATATATACGAGAAAAATGGCCCGTTGAGGAAGGGTACAACGGGCGCTAGGCTGATAGTGCTGTCTCTTTTCTCTAAACTAAAACCAACCCACCCCCCACCCCCCACCCCCACCACCCCCACCACCCCACCCCCCCCCCCCCCACCGCCCCCCCTGGGGTGCTGTTTGCCTGGTTTGATTAGATCACTGTTTAAAACGAACGTATGCACCATAGCGCTCACAATATAGTCGAGGCGCTAAAAAGCACAATGTCGGAGCACTGGCAGACGAAGCTGAAAGTGAACGACTATAAAAACCCTATCTTATCCATAGTCTATCGAACTGTTTAACATGAACAAAGGCGCCATATCAATCATGAGACAGCTTGGGGCGTCAAAACGGAAACTGCCAGGGCGTTGGATGACGCGCCTGATTCAATTTAGTGAAATACTTTAAAACCCCTTCTTGTCTATAGTCTATCGCATTGTTTAAAACGAACGTAGGTGCCATAGCGCTCAACGGAAAGCCCAGGCGCCAAATTATACCCTGCCGGGGCGCGGCCCTTCGGAATTGAATCCTCCCCAGTAGTATTCTCAAAAACAAAGTATCAAGGCGATCGAATGAAAGATGTAGAAATGCATAAAAGTCAAGCAAACCCACAAACACACACACATAATTGTATGTATATGTATATATATATATATATATATATATATATATATATATATATATATATATATATATATATAATTTTTTTACGGAGGGGGGGGTGACACCATTAAGTGCCTCACCGGGTGACACCCGACCTCGCTACGCCACTGATACCAGATACGTATATGATGTTTTTATGCTAGCGAAGAATTTATTGATTAAAAGCCATTGTTTGAATAGTTTGCTTGATACAAGAGAATTGATGTTTTTATGCTAGGGGTTGTGTTTCTAGTTTTATTCTACGGGTTGAATTGATTGATTAAGCTAAGGTTGAATAGATATTGTTCTTTCGCTAAATAAAAACATTTGGAACTTTATTTTCTGTGTGAGGAAATAATCATTTGACCTTGATGTATATTTTAGCATAGATCGCACATCTAATATCAAAGAAAAGGTCGGGTTTGATGCAATCTAAAATGTCCTACAACGGTTTGAGATTCCCTGTCGCTTCTATTGTTACCTTCTTGTTGGCTTTAAGACTGAGCGACGTACATGGTAAGTGTTAGCTGGTTGAGTGGACTTGACATCTATATGTATATATATATATATATATATATATATATATATATATATATATATATATATATATATATATATATATATTATACACATTCATGAAGAGATAAGTAATTAAAAAAGAGAGAGAACATGAGTGACTGAGATAAGAACGAGAGAGAGAGAGAGAAAGAGATAGAGAGAGACAGAGAGAGACAGAGAGAGAGAGAAAAGGAAGATGAATCAAGAAACAATATTCATCCATTCACCATTCCAGCTCAGTGTACAATGGTGCAGTACGACGGCCAAGGAGTAGAATCTACCGAATACCCTGAGACAATTTCGGACATAGAATATGATAAGGTTTGTGTTTGTGTTTGTGTTTGTTGTGTTTTCTTTTGTCGACCTTGATCCCCCCCCCCAAACACACACACAAGCACACCACCATCACCACCTACACTGTCACCAAAATATTCAGACCACTACTTTAAACAAAATTAGGGTTTAGTTTCTGACGTCACACTTTCTTGACCCACATTCCCCCGTGAAGTCTGCAATGTACGGTTTCCAAAAACCCCTTGTGTAACTTCAAATGGCGGATCCAGAATTGTGACGTCATTTCTGATCAATCTCTTGGGGTGGGTGGGAGATTGAATTTTCAACTTATTGAATATTATTTGGTGGGACCAATTCTTTATTATCTTCTGCTAGGGTTAGTAGGTTTGGCCGGTGTGGGTGTGGGTGTGGGTATGGTGTGGGTGTGGGTGTGGTGTGGGTGTGGGTGTGGGGCAAGTTTGACGTAAAATGACACTAAACAAAAGAAGTGGCGTAGCGAGGTCGGGTGTCAACTGGTGCGGCACTAAATGGTGTCATCCCCCAGAGGCGTAGCGACCCTTCCCGGGGACAAACTTTTAATTTTCGATTTGCACCCCCCCCCCTTTCACACTTTCGATTTGCATCCCCTCCCTCAAACTTTCGATTTGCAACCCCCCTCAAACTTTCGATATGCCCCCCCCTTTTCCCACCCCCCCCCCCTCAAACTTTCGATTTGCACCTCTTAAAAGACTATTTGACACTCGAATTAATCACTTAATTAAGTGGAATTATAATTTTTCTCTATATATTTTGCTATTTTTTGCGTTGGTGTCACCCGGAGCGGTTCGCACCCCCAGCTCCCCCCATCCCTCGCTACGCCTCTGAACTAAAGTATTCCGTTTAACGTTTTAGTGAAAAAAGTACGCTTGCATAAAACTAAAGAAGCATACACATACACATTCTACTTCTGTACCTCACAAATCTCATTACACCTTTTATTTCCTGCTGTAAGTAGCAAATCTCATTACACCTTTTATTTCCTGCTGTAAGTAGCAAATCTCAAGAATTTATATGGACAGTTTAGAAAGAGATGATTATAAAAGTAACAGGACGGTGAAAGTGTTTTAACTCTCACAGGATAAGTGCTTTAACTCTCACAGGATAAGTGTTTTAACTCTCACAGGATAAGTGTTTTAACTCTCACAGGATAAGTGTTTTAACTCTCACAGGATAAGTTCTTTAACTCTCACAGGATAAGTGTTTTAACTCTTCAGGATAAGTGCTTTAACTTCTGCTTGATGACCAGTGACTGTGTGATGGCCGGTTTCTATGACGACGGCATTTGTTACTACAGCTCTACTGCAATAGCAATGTACAGTGATCCGAGCTTCTTAACGGCCATCAAAGTGTGTCAAACTAGTGAGTGCATGTCTGTTTTTACGCTGGGTAGGGTGGTACTCCCCACCCCCCACTCCTTACTTAATTGTAATGTCTTAATGCCACAGCTAATTTCTTTACGTCATTTTCGAATATATATATATATATATATATATATATATATATATATATATATATATATATATATATATATATATATATATATATATATATATATATATGTGTGTGTGTGTGTGTGTGTGTGTGTGTACCGTCATGTTTACGCCACTGACATGGTTCCAAGGAGTAGGCACCCCTCGTCCTAGGCACGTCCACCGGAACCACCACACCCCCCCCCCACACACACACGCACTCACTTATACACACAATTTTGGAGTAAATTGAAAAGTAAAATGTCAAGTAACTATAAAATTAAACCAAATACCCCCCATCCCACCAAAAACACACAGCAATCAATGCTTATCTTTTATTTTAAACTCATTGCTCGGATGATAATTTACTGCAGGCCAAGCGTAAAGCGTAGCAGAATCTGAATATTGTATTTCCAGCAACCTATTCATCTCTAATGTTGAATTCTACCAAATCAGATTATAGTTGATGTTAAGCTACAAACGTATATAATTATTTTTAAAATTTTGTTTTCAGCTACTTCGACAACTACAACAACCACAACAACCACCCCAACTACAACAACCACAACAACCACCCCAACTACAACAACCACCCCAACTACAACAACCACCCCAACTACAACAACCACAACAACCACCCCAACTACAACAACCACAACAACCACCCCAACTACAACAACCACAACAACCACCCCAACTACAACCAACCCAACTACAACAACCGACCCAACTACAACAACCAACCCAACTACAACAACCAACCCAACTACAACAACCACAACAACCAACCCAACTACAACAACCACTAAAGCAGCAACTATAGGAGCTGTACGGAAATGTCGTAAACACTAATGGTAAATTTTTTACAAGCTTTTATTGAACTACTCTGTCTAGTGTACTTGTCTCCCCGTGTGAGAAACATTAGCAGTTATTTTAGAACAGTGAGAAACATCAGCAGTTATTTTAGAGCAGTGAGAAACATCAGCAGTTATTTTAGAACAGTGAGAAACATCAGCAGTTAGTTTAGAACAGTGGTTCTTAACCTTTTGAAGTTACTGAACCTACCCGTTTCGTTTGCGGTTAACTAAACCCTTCTCCAAAACGTCCACCACCCGCACTGACAAAATCCGATCCTGAATCATAAAAGTCGGGTTTGTGTCTTGACCTCCTTAGAACCCCTGAGACTGACTCAACGAACCCTCAAGGTTCAATCGAACCCCGGTTAAGAGCCACTGGTTTAGACCTTAGCCTTTTTGGTGCTAGAGATTCAGGGCGAAAAACGTCCCTTTTCTGATGGGATGTTATACAATAAGATTTTTTTTTAATAATTAAACGTTACAGTAAAAGAAAAGGTAGGAGAGTTGGAGGTGGGGGAAAGGTGTTTTGTTGTGATGATGTCTTTATGAGACAGTGAGGCAGACAGTTTGTACACAAGGCAAACTTTGTACCAAAGTTAAGGAAATAATGTCTGTGTACACATATATGTGTATATGTAGGCGTACATATATGTACATATGAACACAACTATATATATATATATATATATATATATATATATATATATATATATATATATATATATATATATATATATATATATATATATATATAACATGAAACATTTCTATTTGTTCCAGTAAAAAGTATACGTGTGCTATCAATTGGATGCCTTTAGGATCGGTTTACAGCGGTAAAATGTGTTCACCAATAATCCATCAAAACAAACGGATTAAGCCTTCTGCTTTTGTGGAATACTGGGGATGAGAAATAATTTTTAAGTTATTTTAGTCTTTTAAAAAAAAAGTTTTATTTAGCATACAGAGTTTGTATGACGTCAAAAGTGCTTTCACGGTCTGTTTTGGTCTATTGAAAGGAATGATCTGTTGCTACTGTTATTTGCATAGAGATTGATGCTTTTTACTACACGCTATTATTTAACTTGCTTCGTCGTCTGTCTGTCGTGCTTTGGTCTGTCGTCCGTCATGGTTCAAAACTGATGAGCGAAACTTTGACAACTCCCACGTGTTAAATTCTTCATAACTTGGCACTTGAGTCTTGATCCAATGACAATGTGAAATCAATTTGACTTACTTCAATGCTTAATTAATGTTTAAATAATTATTCAAAATCTTCTATGTACAGTACTATTTTCCGAGCTAATACACGCACACTGTGGTTATTTGATGTGCAATTTTTTCTAGTAGTGAAAATCTACTGTTTAATTTTTTTTTAAGTATTGAAAAATATTAAATAAAACAAGTGTATAAATAACATGTTTTTTAAAAAAAAAATAATAATCCACTAAAAAAGCATAATAAACGATTTAATAACAATCTGTTATGTAATAATTCACTAAAAGGAGAAAATAAACTACTGTTTAAATTACTAAAAAGAAAAGCGCTTTTATTTTTATTTATTTAAGTAGTAGTTAATTATTATATTTAAAGGAAAGAATTTATTTTCTCCTTTTTAGTGGATTATTACATAAAAACTTGTTAATAAAACGTTTTTTATGCATTTATTGTTCAGTAATTTAAAAAAATTGTATACGATGAAGTTGAAGGATTAAAAACTATTTCTCACCAAATGAACATTAGAAATGCGCTACAACAGTACGATAAATAGTACTTTATATGAGAAATTTTAAATAAGCCATAAAATATAATAAGCCAAGCAATTAAGTCAAATTTGATGTTAAATTGCATTGTCATTGGGTCTTGGCCTAAGTTTGAAACGAATCGGTATGTTAAAAGTGATCGAAATTCGCTCGGCAGTTTCGATCTATGACTACATAACGACAGAAGTTAAATAAAAGCTTATATAAGGTAGAAAATAAATGATTTATAATAATACACATCGATTTAAATTGCAAATAAAGAAAAGCGTCGATCACTGAAGCTATATTATCAATTAAATACCTGAAATAAAATTTCAAAAGTGAACTACTACTACGCTTTTCTTTTTAGTTCGTTAAATAGTGTTGCATTATTAGATATTTAAAGAAAATCATTAAGTGCATTTTTATATAAAATCTTGTTATTAAAACATTTTTTATTGATTTTTTAAACTTTCAAATTCAGTTGCATTGTTTTCTTGGGTTGGATTTTTTAATCAATAAAATTAAAAAAAAAACCGAAATCCCAATTCTTTTGTTTTTTTATGTTCAAGCACTTGAGTGTGTCTGTAAGCAAGGAAGTAAAACATTGAGTGGATTTTATTTTTGCTTCTCTTGTGTTTATAAGAGAGAGATGGTATGCGCATACTTCTCACATGGCACTACATCAACAGCAAACCACAACAAAATCACAATACAAATCTAAAAAATATACCATACCAAACCACAACAAAATCACAATACAAATCTAAAAAATATACCATACCAAACCACAACAAAATCACAATACAAATCTAAAAAATATACCATACCAAACCACAACAAAATCACAATACAAATCTAAACAACCACAGCAAAACACAACAAAATCACAATACAAATCTAAACGAAATGATGTCACATACACAATGCCTGACATATAAACACTACACTATTAAGGTCATTAAGTTAAACACAACCATGTTTTTGTTTTCTTTTTCTACAAAACTCTACCAAGAAAAGAGGCAATCTATTAAAGATTTACAACGAACGATGTACTCCCACACTTAAAAGGGCAATAAGAAGATGGTAGAAGACGCGTTACATTTAACATTCAGAGGAAACTTCATTCACACCACCTAGTAATACATCAAATACAAAACTGTTGAATTTTTAAATTTATTTTTTGTTTTAATTGCCTCAGACGTTACATTTACATCATCAGATTGCCTTGCCATGTTCGATTTAGTATTACAGTTTGCGCAATCGGCTTGTGAGGATTGATTTACAATTACCGTAGGCCTGATACTTGCATGTTATCAATACACATTCTACCTTCCCTCAACATCCTACCTCCCCTTAACATCCTACCTCCCATTAACATCCTACCTCCCCTCAACATCCTACCTCCAATTAACATCCTACCTCCACTTAATATCCTACCTCCCCTTAACATCCTACCTCCCCTTAAAATCCTACCTCCCCTCAACATCCTACCTCCAATTAACATCCTACCTCCACTTAATATCCTACCTCCCCTTAACATCCTACCTCCCCTTAAAATCCTACCTCCCCTCAACATCCTACCTCCCCTTAACATCCTACCTCCCCTTAACATCCTACCTCCCCTCAACATCCTACCTCCCCTTAACATCCTATCTCCCCTTGAAATCCTACCCCCGCCTTAACATCCTACCCCCCTTAACATCCTACCTCCCCTCAACATCCTACCTCCCCTTAAAATCCTACCTCCCCTTAAAATTCTACCCCCTTCTCAACATCCTACTTCCCCTTAACATTCTACCTCCCCTTAACATCCTACCTCCCATTAACATCCTACCTCCCCTCAACATCCTACCTCCCCTTAACATCCTACCTCCCCTTAACATCCTACCTCCCCTTAACATCCACACCTCCCCTTAACATCCACATCTCCCCTTAAAATCCTACCCCCCTTAACATCCGACCTCCCATCAACATCCTACCTCCCGTTAACGTCCTACCGCCCCTTGACATCCACACATCCCCTTAACATCCTACCTCCCCTTAACATCCTACCTCCCCTTAACATCCACACCTCTCCTTAACATCCACACCTCCCCTTAACATCCACACCTCCCCTCAACATCCTACCTCCCCTTAACGTCCTACCGCCCCTTAAAATCCTACCTCCCCTCAACATCCTACCTCCCCTTAACATCCTACCTCCCCTTAATATCCTACCTCCCCTTAACATCCTATCTCCCCTTGAAATCCTACCCCCCCCCCCTTAACATCCTACCCCCCTTAACATCCTACCTCCCCTCAACATCCTACCTCCCCTTAAAATCCTACCTCCCCTCAACATCCTACTTCCCCTTAACATCCTACCTCCCCTTAACATCCTACCTCCCATTAACATCCTACCTCCCCTCAACATCCTACCTCCCCTTAACATCCTACCTCCCCTTAACATCCTACCTCCCCTTAACATCCACACCTCCCCTTAACATCCACACCTCCCCTTAACATCCACATCTCCCCTTAAAATCCTACCCCCCTTAACATCCTACCTCCCCTCAACATCCTACCTCCCCTTAACGTCCTACCGCCCCTTAACATCCACACCTCCCCTTAACATCCTACCTCCCCTTAACATCCACACCTCTCCTTAACATCCACACCTCCCCTTAACATCCACACCTCCCCTTAACATCCTACCTCCGCTTAACATCCTACCTCCCCTTAACATCCTACCTCCCCTCAACATCCTACCTCCGCTTAACATCCTACCTCCCCTTAACATCCTACCTCCCCTTAACATCCTACCTCCCCACAACATCCTACCTCCCCTCAACATCCTACCTCCACTTAACATCCTACCTCTCCTTAACATCCACACCTTACCTTAACATCCTACCTCCCCTTAACAAACCTGTGAGCCAGTATTACCTCCTGCACTAGCGACAGCTTGTATCATTTCTCGCTATACTGGACATGCTTGACTCTACTTGACTGGTCGAAGTTTCATCTCGCTCGCCCCCCCCCCCCCCCCACTGCCGTAGTCCCCTCTACTGGACATGCTTGACTCTTCTTGATTGGTCGAAGTTTCATCTCGCTCGCCCCACACACACACACTGCCGTAGTCCCCTCTACTGGACATGCTTGACCTTACTTGACTGGCCAAAGTTTCATATCGCCCCTCCCCCCCCCCACTGCCGTAGTCCCCTCTACTGGACATGCTTGACTCTACTTGACTGGTCAAAGTTTCATCTCGCTCGCCCCCCCCCCCCCCCCACTGCCGTAGTCCCCTCTACTGGACATGCTTGACCCTACTTGACTGGCCAAAGTTTCATCTCGCCCCTCCCCCCCCCCACACTGCCGTAGTCCCCTCTACTGGACATGCTTGACCCTTGACTGGTCGAAGTTTCATCTCGCTCGCCCCCCCCCCCACTGCCGTAGTCCCCTCTACTGGACATGCTTGACCCTTGACTGGCCAAAGTTTCATCTCGCCCCTCCCCCCCCCCCCCCCACACTGCCGTAGTCCCCTCTACTGGACATGCTTGACCCTTGACTGGTCGAAGTTTCATCTCGCTCGCCCCCCCCCCCCCCCCACTGCCGTAGTCCCCTCTACTGGACATGCTTGACCCTTGACTGGTCGAAGTTTCATCTCGCTCGCCCCCCCCCACTGCCGTAGTCCCCTCTACTGGACATGCTTGACCCTACTTGACTGGCCAAAGTTTCATCTCGCCCCTCCCCCCCCCCACACTGCCGTAGTCCCCTCTACTGGACATGCTTGACCCTACTTGACTGGTCTAAGCTTCATCTCACACGCCTCCACACTGCCGTAGTCCCCCGTGACGTCGAACCAGTTGAGTCCCATGCCGTACCTCTGGTCCCCCCACAGACCGTTCAGGTTGGTGTAGTGACAGGCGGCATACCACCACGCGGCGTGGTACGACAGTTTGTTGTTGTTAGTCTTTTTTTTGTTTTTTTTTTTTTTTGGTTGTGTTTGATTGTTTTTTTTATTTCTGATTTTTTTTTTGTTTTGATTTGAGAGTTATTGTTGTTGTTTTTGTGTGTTTCTTTTTTTGTTTGTTGTCTTTTTTTTTTTTTTTTTTGTTTTTTTTGTTTTTTGTTTGTTGTTTTTGTTGTTTGATTTTTTGTTTTTTTTGTGAGAGAGATAGTTAAGGCAGTAAATGTTTTCGTTGCCCAGATAGAAATCGCCAATGACGTAATCTCCAAAGCCGTTCTTGTACTCCGTCCAGTTCCTGTAGAAGTCAACTGACCCATTGACACGACGTTGAAAAATTGTCCAGCCCCCTCCGTCTGTCACTGTGTCACACATGACGACAAGACCAGACGACAGTTGAACCAGCTGTCTCGGGTTGGTGGAGTTCTTCACATCCAGGCACGTTCTGTAAACGTCTGGAACTTTGGCCACCAGAATCTCTTCGTCCCCCACGTTTATAAATCCTGGTGACAATTTTTGCTCTAATTTAAAGAGTTATTAAAAATGGACGAACATAGACAAGCACTGGTGCTACACGAACCTAGACAAGCACTGGTGCTACACGAACAAGTACTGGTGCCACACGAACCTTGACAAGCACTTGTGCTACACGAACCTTGACAAGCACTTGTGCTACACGAACCTTGACAAGCATTGGTGCTACACGAATCCATCCTCCCATCTCCCACAGGCTTCACCAACTCGTGTACATTACAGTACATTCCCTTGGTGTACAGGCGGGTGGTGCTGGAGGGCTGGGTCGTGTTGAGGGCGGCGGCTGGGAGAAGCCAGTAGCCTGAAGATGAGAGAGGATGGTAGAGAGGATGTTGGAGAGAGGATGGTAGAGAGAGGATGGTAGAGAGAGGATGGTAGAGAGGATGGTAGAGAGGATGGTAGAGAGAGGATGGTAGAGAGAGGATGATAGAGAGGATGGTAGAGAGGATGGTAGAGAGAGGATGATAGAGAGGATGGTAGAGAGGATGTTGGAGAGAGGATGGTAGAGAGGATGGTAGAGAGGATGGTAGAGAGGCGGGTAGAGAGGATGGTAGAGAGGATGGTAGAGAGGATGTTGGAGAGAGGATGGTAGAGAGAGGATGGTAGAGAGAGGATGGTAGAGAGGATGGTAGAGAGGATGGTAGAGAGAGGATGATAGAGAGGATGGTAGAGAGGATGTTGGAGAGAGGATGGTAGAGAGGATGGTAGAGAGGATGGTAGAGAGGCGGGTAGAGAGAATGGTAGAGAGGATGGTAGAGAGGATGTTGGAGAGAGGATGGTAGAGAGGATGGTAGAGAGGATGGTAGAGAGGATGGTAGAGAGAGGATGGTAGAGAGAGGATGGTAGAGAGAGGATGGTAGAGAGAGGATGGTAGAGAGGATTTTAGAGAGGATGGTAGAGAAGATGGTAGAGAGTGGATGGTAGAGAGGATGTTGGAGATAGGATGGTAGAGAGAGGATGGTAGAGAGAGGATGGTAGAGAGAATGGGAGAGAAGATGGTAGAGAGGTGATGG